GTCCGGCTGCAGCCTCGTTCCATTAGGATATCACTGCTGGGAAACGAGGCCAGATTGGATCTGGACGGCGAGCCAAGGTGGAGCCAAAAACCTTCCCGTCAGATCATCCGATCTGGAAGGGGGAAGGAGAGGGACGGAAAAAAGTCCCTTCATGTCAGCTGCCTCCTGGATTATGCTGGGCAGCTCCAGAGGAGGGCACAGACGGCTGGGAGTGGTGTGGTCGCCGATGCGAAAAAGGTCCGGGGGGGGTGAGCATCCGCTCAGCCCCCCTCGTTCCGATACTACGCTCTCCAGGAGGGAGTGAGCAACGGGGGCTGCTGCTGACGTGGCCTGTCCCGGAGGAACCATTCGATTCGCTCCGAGAGTCGCCGATAAAAGTAAAAAAGGGTCGATGGCGTCGTCCAGCATGTAGCGAACCGCCACAGAGAAATATTCCTCGGCGCTTACCTTGAAACAAGGCTGCTTGTCTGCTTCTCCTCGGGGAGGAGAACTCACCGGGACAGCAGGAGGTTGGCGTGGCGGGACCACAGACAGCCTTAACAAAGGTTGTGCTGGTCAAGCTGGACAACTACCCTTCTTCATTCTTCTGACAGTGATATTAGCTTGCTGAAGAAAAATGGGAGCCGATTACCCGCTCTTAACATAATTTATACGGACCAGGTGGGGCCCACACAACAGGTGGGCGTGGACTAAATTTTTTGCAGTGCGATGCTTTGCATGACGGGATAAAATCCACCAGCGACAGCCTTAAAGGGCGAAGCCTATATGAAATAGAACAGCAAAACTATCTAATGCAGTGGCCAACAGTAAGTCTATTTAAATGCAACAGACAGAGCATGTGTTGTTATAGTATCTGAGGTTGAACAAGTGTATTTTGGTACATCAAATGTTTTATACAAATAGTTGTTTTTCACAACCAAGTGTTAAATTGGAAACGAGAAGGTGCTAAACAGATCAAGTGGAAATATAAATAGTTTTGAAACAGTTGTGGTTCACCTGGACAAAGTTATTTTTTCTTCTTCTCTGTATAAGTAGATATTTTGTCATTGATGTCTATAAATTTGCAAATAATAAGAATGTTTATGAAAACTGAAATCTCAGATGAGTGCATTGAGTTTTTAAATCCACCATTATCAAGGCCATCCTACTCACAGGGAACACGCTGACATGTTTGTGCTGTATTTTATCTTTGTTCCAAAAAGACCCACAGAAAATGTAAATGTGGGTGGCCTTTAAGAGACTGATACTGAAAATTTGTGAAGCAGCAATTAATGAATTATTGTTTATATGAACTGATTGTATTCAAACAAATAACAACACAGCTGTGTGGCTTCACAAGAAACAATTAAAAATAATCTGAAAATAGATTAAAAATAGTCTTGTTTGTTCCTCATTTTAGCTGATTTTAAATTTGATATTGAAAAAGAGAAAGTATGATTATGAAAGTAAAAGTGTTGGACTGTAAGTACAATACAACAGTTCAGTGCTCAACAGAATGAGGACTGAACAGGCCAGGTGATGTATTCTTGTGTTTACTCAACATACTGACTCTTCAAAGATCTCAATCATAAAGCAGCCTCCAGATTGTGGTTTTTCTTTTTACACTTAATTCATTCATGAACTCCTTTGCTTCAAGTAACATGTTGTCTTCAATTAATTGACTTTTACTGTGAGTGTGTACTTATGTATTGCAGAGATTATTGAGGATTAGTGAGTGTCAGAGCCCCAAACCAAGATGAAGCTTTGAGCATCCACAAATGAGTCAACTCCTTACTGCTGGAATCAACTTATAATAAAGTGCCTCAAGCAGCAGAAAAGGGTGAATGCTGTGGAAGAAGATGAGGATTTGCAGAGGACGAAGGCTCAGCACAGTAATGCATCATAAGGAAGCAGAGAGAACAGCTGACATCTTAATACAGTAGCATAAAACTCTCCAAGAGCAAGGAGGCCCTGAGTGGAACTCCCAAGAAAGCTGCTGACCAATGCACGCACCCCCATTTAACAAAACTGATTCAATAAAAAGCCAATATACTAACACAGCCATTCCCATACTTTACAGTAGGACAAAAAGCATTGTAAAAAAACAAAAGAAAGCAGTTAAGACAGCTCTAATGTGTTGCATGATGGACATGCATTGCCACAAAATCTTGTGTCATTCAATTCAGTTTATTTATATAGCGACAAGTCACAACAGAAGTCATCTAAGGGCACTGAACAGAAACATTCATACACAGGTGCTGGTCATAAAATTAGAATATCATGAAAAAGTTCATTTATTTCAGTAATTAAATTCAAAAAGTGAAACTTACATATTATATTTATACATCACACACAGACCGGTATATTTCAAATGTTTATTTCTTTTAAAGTTGATGATTATAACTGACAACAAATGAAAATCCAAAATTCAGTATTTCAGAAAATTAGAATACTAGAATACTATGAAAAGGTTCAATACTGAAGACAACTGGTGCCACACTCTAATCAGCTAATTAACTCAAAACACCTGCAAAGGCCTTTAAATGTTCTCAGTCTAGTTCTGTAGGCTACACAATCATGGGGAAGACTGCTGACTTGACAGTTGTCCAAAAGACGACCATTGACACCTTGCACAAGGACAGCAAGACACAAAAGGTCATTGCTAAAGAGGCTGGCTGTTCACAGAGCTCCATGTCCAAGCATGTTAATAGAGAGGCGAAGGGAAGGAAAATATGTGGTAGGAAAAAAGTGCACAAGCAATAGGGATAACTGCACCCTGGAGAAAATTGTGAAAAAAAAAAAACATTCCAAAATGTGGGGGAGACTCACAAAGAGTGGACTGCAGCTGGAATCAGTGCTTCAAGAACCACCACGCACAGACATATGCAAGACATGGGTTTCAGCTGTCACATCCCTTACGTCAAGTCACTCTTGAAAAAGAGACAGCATCAGAAGTGTCTCGCCTGAGCTAAAGACAAAAAGGACTGGACTGCTGCTGAGTGGTCCAAAGTTATGTTCTCTGATGAAAATAAATTTTGCATTTCCTTTGGAAATCAAGGTCCCAGAGTCTGGAGGAAAAGAGAAGAGACACAGAATCCACATTGTTTGAGGTCCAGTGTCAAGTTTCCACAGTCAGTGATGGTTTGGGGTGCCATGTCATCTGCTGGTGTTGGTCCACTGTGTTTTTTGAGGTCCAAGGTCAACGCAGCCATCTACCAGAAAGTTTTAGAGCACTTCATGCTTCCTGCTGCTGACCAACTTTATGGAGATGCAGATGTCATTTTCCAACAGGACTTGGCACCTGCACACAGTGCCAAAGCTACCAGTACCTGGTTTAAGGACCATGGTATCCCTGTTCTTAATTGGCCAGCAAACTGGCCTGACCATAACCCCATAGAAAATCTATTGTGAAGAGGAAGATGTGATACACCAGACCCAACAATTCAGAAGAGCTGAAGGCCTCTATCAGAGCAACCTGGACTCTCATAACACCTGAGCAGTGCCACAGACTGACCGACTCCATGCCACGCCACACTGCTGCAGTAATCCAGACAAAAGGAGCCCCAACTGAGTATTGATGCTGTACATGCTCATACTTTCATGCTCATACTTTTCATTTGACCAACATTTCTAAAAATCCTTTTGTTATAGGTCTTAAATAATATTCTAATTTTCTGAGATACTGAATTTGGGGTTTTCATTAGTTGTCAGTTGTAATCATCAACATAAAAAGAAATAAGCATTTGAAATATATCAGTCTGTGTGTAATGAATGAATATACAAGTTTCACTTTTTGAATAGAATTACTGAAATAAATAAACTTTTTCATGATATTTTAATTTTATGACCAACACCTGTACATTATAAAAGCCAATTAGTACAAGTTCCCTATCTAAGGAAGCCAGCAGATTGCGAAGAATCTTCACTTCATCGCAGTCTCCCATCCTGAGCAAGCACAAAGTTGTACTCAACATTTTTGACACCTTTGGTTCATTAAGTTTGTAAAACCTATGGACACAAGTTCCAGTCATAAATATATTTTGTGTTTGTAAATCAGAGCGCATCGTTGGGAATTAAGTTTAATAACCTTTGCAAAATAAAATGGCTGAGAATTTCTGTTTTAAGCACGTGTAGATAGGAATGTGTGTGTGTGTAAGAAATATTTGCATTTGTAAAAAATAATTACAAGTTACAATTTTCAAGAGTTATAACTTGTAAGTACGAATTTTGACGATATGTTTCTTCCTCTCAGCTGATTGGTCAATGTCAAGTCAATCACAAATTTATCAATCCAATCAGAGAACAGCTGGGTTTGGCTGTTGGGGTGGCTCTTTAACTGAGCTGCAGGTCCTGAAAGAGTAGTACATTTTGAAGATGGAGGACAGCACCTCAGTTTGGAAAGAAAAAGTTTACGGCTGACAGGGCTGTTGATGCGACAACTAGTTCAAACGCAGCTAAGACCTAAATATATTGCTACAGTTAAATCACTTCTTTTTTTTTTTTTTTTAAATCAGTTAAATCACTTTTAATCTTCAATATGTCAAAGGAGTTCATGTGAACACTATTTTACAAACTTAAAATGAAACTTTGCTCTTATCGGTGTTCAGAAGTTAGCTCAGTCTTGTTGGAAAACTTTATTTATCAAAACTCAGTCTGTTCCAGAAACATTCCTGTAGGTGGATGCAGATGGGGAGAAAAAGAATATCCAGTCTTCCATAGATGTGTGCCTGTGGCAAAATTTTCTTTTGCCAATAATTGCATCATTATAATTTAACAATTACACAGAAACACAGCAAATCCTGTTCTCCAATTATATAATGCTGAATTAATAAACATGTATGCATGCTCTCTCCCACTAGCAAACAAAAATTGCAAAAAAAAAAATTATAAAAAATATGGCAGATTGCAAAAAGGCTTCCACTAGGAATAAAATATACAGAAATACACAGTGGAGTTGAGAAAATACAACATTTCCCGTGGAGTTTCTACTGAGAAACGAAGATAAATGTCATGAGACTTACAGCTGCTTGCCAGGGTTCAGCGAGCCTGCATCAATTTCCCGGTCAATGTCAGTGCGTAGATACTCCAGGGCACCATCATCTCCAAAAGCACCCCACTCCGTATTTACACACATCCGGCCCTCATCACCATCTATCACCTCAAGGTTCCTCATCTGCTCCATGTAGCAGGCGTTGGTCCCAGTGCCTTCAGGGAAGTGAGGTTACCATTAAAGTTATTGTTCAACAACAACAACAAAAAACTAAATAAGTAAAAACTAAAACATTACTTTAGTCTGACATGTTTAAAACTTCTTAAAGATAATGCCATTCCAGGTCATATTTTTTTTTTTTATTGTGTGTGCAGTTTTCAGTTGCATTAGCACACAAAGGCTGTATTAAGAAACAAAATCTCCTGCTCTTCATCACAGACTCATCTTAAGCAAGCATAAAGGCAACAGTGGAAAGGAAAAACTCCCTCATGAGGAAGAAACCGCCATCAAAACCAGGGTCAGGACAAGTGGCCATCTGTTTTGAGCAGCTTGGTTTGAGAGGACAGGAAGGAGGAACAGATACACAATGGCAGGTCGAGAATCAAATGTTAAGATAGAAATAGAATCAAATGAAAACTAATTTTAACAATTCATTTTAAGAAATTAGGTATATTTGTCCTCTAGTAGTCTAAGTTTAAGGCAGCATAACAAGCCAACCCTAACTATAGGATTTATCAAAAAGGAAAGTCTTAAGTCCAGTCTTAAAACTGGACAATGTGTCAGCCTCACGAACAGAAACTGGAAGCTGGTTCCACAAGAGAGGAGCCTGATAACAAGTGCTTAATCTGAGCCGGATCCTGCCGGAACAAGATCCGGGAACTCTCTCATTTTGACAGGCTGTGCTCCGGCAACTGTTTGCTTGGATCCGGCAACTCAAATCCCCGTCCCTAAAAATCCAAAGTCATTGCACATTTTGATTTTGATTATTTATTAAAAATACAATAAAAGGAGATGCTGCTCTTGGCCCGGCGGACTCAGCCTGTGGTGTGGCTTTTCTGGCTACAGCAGGTGCACCAGCTTGCTCACACGCTCCTGCCCAGCACAGATGTGGATGGCATGTCTTGCGGGGATTAAGCGGATTCTTCCAACACATTCAGCAGCGTGCTCTGTGAACATTACGCACAGTAGCATCTCCAGACAGTGCTACAGAGTGTGCACAACTGCTGATGTGAACTCACGCATGCGTTTCAGACATAATAAAAAAAGCTTAGCTACAGTAAAGAAAAAAAACAAGAGAAATATTTGATGTGTATTATTCACATTAATCACGTATCAAAACAACCGCGTTAATTTGTCAAAATAACAACGATCAAAATGTCGAAAAAAAACCAATCCAATTTACTTTCATAAAATAAGTGGATGGATAGATTGTCCTTAGATGGACAATTGAGAAGGCAGTCGTAATTCAAGTTGGAGCAGCAGGAGCAACAACGTGCAGGAATGAATTCAGTGGAGAAGAGTTGGTCTCAGAATCGTGAAGTGTGTGTGTTGGGGGGTGGGGGGGAGGTAGGACGCTTGACAGGATCAGACCTGCTCTATTCACACACGACTTCTTGTTGCTCTCTAAAATAGTAATTTAAGTGTATACAAATGTAGGTAATTGTTGATGTTGAACAACCCGTTAAAATAGGCTACATCAAAATGCAGGAAATCGCATCTACTTTATTCAAAAATGTAAAGGGGAGGAGGACCCACAAGCCCCCTCCACTTCCTCCCTCCACCACGATTTTGGTCAGCCACGCTCAGTCTGCCACTCCACCGAGACGGGAAGACTGAGCGGAGCAGACCGAAATCAGACTGCCTTCTCCGGACTGAACAACAATAGCACACCGCTGAAGCCACGGAGCTCGAATGTCCAATGTAAAACTAACTTTATCGCAGTTTAATGTGGTGCTATGGCTCTGCAGACATTGCACGTTGCCGTCTTGCTTTGTGGCGTTTCTAGTGTAAAATACTTCCACACAGTAGACATGTTTTGATGAAAAGTTGGTTAGCCATTAGCCACAGTGCTACTGCATGTTGTAGCTGGCTACAAACTATGAAATGAATTTCCTGAATGTGAGACGGGTCTTATTTCTCTGGGTTCATGAGACACGCCTCCATTCAGGAAATCCATTCCATAGTTTGAAGCCAACTTGCAGAGCAGATGGCACATAATAATAAAACATGTAAATAATAATCAACATGTTGACTAATCTTCCTTGGAGTGGCAACTTTAGCTGAGTTGAACACTATCCATTGGGATTCAGGTAACAATGATGTTGTGGAGTTGTGCCCAGCCTGCAGGTGTTCCATCAAATCTGAAGTGGAGGTCTTCATCGCTGAGACTTTTAACACCAGAACACAACATGCATTTCACCATATTAGTATTGTCCTTCTTAAGCACATATTCAAAATAAAATGTAAATCCTCTCAATGCCATCAATCTGGCTGAGTGAGTTATACATGGTCACTGATGTGAGCAGGACCCAGGGCTTGCTGCTGGGCAGAATTCATCTAGAAGTTAGTTTTTTTTTTTTTTTTTAATTATCATTTCTTTAGCTTGTGGAGGAAAAAAAAACTCAAGTAAAATGTTAACAATAAATCATTTATTTGCAATCTAATTACTGCATTAATGAAACTACTGGTAATATATTATTTTACAGGAAAAAGTAATCAAGTTTCACATAATTGAGTTAGTCTGATGGTAATATCAGGGCAAATACATGCTTGGGAGTTAGACTGTGGAGCATCATATTCTGCCTACAAGAAGACATTCTCTTTTCAGTTCAACACAACAATAAAATCCCCGCATGCAGGTGTGGAAGGTACAAGCCCTGGACTGGACTGCTGCAGTTCTCATGTATCTCACAGTGAAGTGTGTGGGCAGTAAATGAAAGAAAACTTTTGAAGGTGAAGACACATAATACTGTGCAATTTCAGATTTGTTTGCAGGCAAAATAATATATACTTGGAATCCTCCCAGAAGAGCCAGCTGTAGAAAGAGATGTCTGGGCCTCCCTGCTCAAGATGCTGCCCCCGCGACCCGACTTCAGAACAAGCGGATGCTTGATTGGTTGATGGATGGATTGATAGATGGATGGATGGATGAAACAATAACTGAATTTGTGAACACCACCAAAAATGTAAGATTCATTTTATATGCATTTATTTATTGTCTGTACTTTTTTATATATTAAACGCGAGACTTGCATCATGAATGTAAAGCTGATAAATCTGCAGTAACTATGTGATGCCATCACGTCAACATGGGCCAAAATCACAGAGAAAGGTTTTCAACAACTTGGTGAATCAAGGTGTACCTAATAAAGTGGCTGGCGAGTGTTTATTTAGGGAGACACACAATGCTGTAAGCTGACTCACCGACTATAAGACCAATTTCACAGTGATGATCGTCATAGCCGCAGGTCATCATGGTTCCAACTGTGTCGTTGATCACGGCCAGAATGTCAACGTCAAAGTCCTGCAATCAGAATCTGTTTAGATGTTTACATTAAAAACAACACACTCTTTACAATTACAGAATTAAATCATACAGTTTCCTGACAAATCTGGCCATGTTTTAGTTTCAAACAAATCTAGGAGGAATTTTACAGTTTCATTATTTATCTTGAGTACTAGTACTTTTTATTGGCTGATTTTATTAGTCATCTTTTCTCTAGTCAATTGTTGGTGGCTGTGTTTGAAAGCTCCCAGCAGGAGGTTCATCTAATCATCGACCAGCTGATCACCAAGGTGGATGCAGAGGCAGCTTTGACTATCAGAAAGAACATTTCCCTACCATTTGAGAGGGGTTGAACACTTCTACTCTGGAGTTGCCCCTGGTGAGAGGCTCAGAGCAGGGATGGATATACTTGTTGCCCCTGGCCTGGGAACGCCTTGGGATTAGCCCGGAGGAGCTGGCTCAAGTGGCTGGGGAGAGGGAAGTTTGGGCCTCCCTATTTAAGCTGCCCCGCAACCTGACGCCCAATAAGTGGAAAAAAAAATGGATGGATGGATGGATGGCCACACTGCTTAAAACTATAAAAACTCTTGCAAACCCTTGCTTAGGATCCATTGTTTTACAGAGTTTTCATGTAAACAGAGATTTCAAAAGGGTCTTATATACTTTTGCTGTTTTATGTATTTTATTGTCCTTTATTTATTTTTTTTGTATATTTGATGGCAAAGAACTTTGTTAAACCTCAGTTGTTTTAAATGTGCTATTCAAAATGAGGGATGATTTTAAAGTAAAGCAAGAACTTCTGTCCATTTGGGCTAAGAAGAACCTCTGATTGACCCTTTGGTTTATGAAGCTGGATAAAGTCGGCCCTTGGATTCAGTAAAAATGTTTGTTCGCCTTGAAACAAATGCTGATAACTGTACAGGCTCAGAAAAAAGCCCCAAGAGCCCCCGGGCTCTCATAAAGTCTGATTTGAATTATCTGATTTTTCTGAGTATGTCCCCAACTACAGTCAGCGAATTGAAAAACTGGCTTAGATTTCACAAACCAAAAGAAGAATGAATAAGCTGCTCTATTAAATAATCAAAATCCAACCACTGACTGGCAGAAGTCATCGTAATTTGATAGCTGATACGTTTTCATACAATAATAAATAAAAGTATTGCTTCATGAGCCACTTTTTTTTTGTTTACCCCTCGTTTTTTGATGGATTTCCTCAAAAGGTTGACAACTTCCTTTCCCTCTACTCCAGTTGCTCTGAAGCTTTTGGTCCAATATATCAGAACACTCTGCAGGGAAGAAAAAGAGAAAGCAGAGTAAAGACTGAGCACTTGTTTTATTTCAGTCTCACATCAACAACTTGTACAATTATTATTTTTTTAAGTAAACAAGCAGTACGCTGATGTCTCCTGTCGATGAGGGATTTGAATAGTGAATGTTTGTAGTTTTCAAGATGGGTGTACTTCAGAACTGGAACTGAACAGGGAATGTAAGTAAACCTTAATGTTTTTGGTATAAGTGGGTAGGAGTTACACTGTGGAAAAAATAAAAGTATGGTAGCTTATTTTTGTTTTTTGTCTTGTCCCAGGCAGTGCAAGGTTCCTGGTGGGTGGGGAAAGCTATTTTATCCACGACCAGGTGCAATGATGGAGTCAAGGGAGTCTAAACACAAGCCAGTGGTGGCCTTGGCCACTAAAGATGAATCTTCTGCCACCCCAAGGGCCACCCAAATCATTCAAGGAAACTATACTAAGCAATATAAAAATGGAAAATATAGTGAATGGACTGTACTTGTATAGCGTCTTTCTATTTTATCAAGATACTCAAAATGCTTTACACTACAATCTGTGCCCTCATTTACTCATTCGTACAGAACTCTACTAGATCTATACAAAGAATAATCAGAGCTTTAGGTCACATTCATACACCGATGGGACACACATCAGAGGCAATGAGGGGTCCAGTGTCTTGCCCAGGGACACTTCAGCATGTGACTGCTGGTGGAATCAAACCTCCAACTCTCCCATTGGAGGATGACTGCTCTACACAGCTGCCCCTGTTTTAGTTTACTTCATAGTTTCCAATAAAGGAAGTTCTGTACACTCATGAAAATGATGAAATGTGTAAATGGCGCCTTAATTACAGTATAAACATTTTCTTTTTTTATTTCCTTACTTTTACTATTGCTCCTTATTACTTTCAATGTGCAACACAATCAAATCATGACTTCACGTCAATAATGAGCAACTTTGTGTGTTTTGTTTCTGTCTCAGTCTGCAGCAACCACAGACTGTCCAGTGCACCAATCACGCACTGCAGCACTGAAATTAATCCATTTTGCAGCATTTCAGCACTTTTTTTCTGCACATTACACAACTACCTATTTGTCTGAACATTGTTAATTAACATTCCTGTTTATGAACAAGGGAATTTCCTGCATCATAACAGCTTCTTTTCAAAACCCCATAACGATTATAAAGCACTTGCACATAAATTCAAGCCTAGGGACATTACAAAAAAATAAAGCAGAACACGTCGATAAAGTCAGAGGTTTCATATATCCTGCAGCACTTGAGTGTTTATAAGAAATATATGCAGTCTAAACACAAGTAGTTATGCTAATTTTTCTAAACATGGTGTCCTGTTGTAAGTTCTCAAAGGGACGATGCAGCAAACTTTACAGGCACAAAATTTGAATCTCTTATCAAACTAGTAAGTGAAGCAAGTACATTCATCTCTACTCACAGAAATGTTCATTTATTTTTTTCCCAGCAGAACAAGAGTTGACCTAGAGGTATATGAATGTTGTCTTTTATTTACCTGTTCATTGAATAAATTTTAAAGCAGAATGAAGAGAATTTTTGTGAAGTGTTGGAGAAAGTTTATTGTATTTTGGTTCTGAACTGATATCACAAATTTAAATAGTATAAGATGCACTGGTCATGGTGGAAAATGTGCTCAGTGAACATTCTTATTATTTTTAGTTTAAACTACAATTTTATTGTATCAAAATGTATCTGCATTTAGACTTTACAAAAAATAAAGTGAAGGCTGCAACAATTAAAGTTTCTTCGACAATAAACAGGTAATTTATTTTCACGTCCCACCATATTGTGTGCGAATCAGAGCTTGCAGCAGAAAACATTCAGACAACAGCAGGAGCAACACTTTCAGGACAAAACCCATTTGAGATGTGACAGATGTTGAACTGTGCTTGTTGGTTATTCAGTTGTCCCAATAAGTCATCTTCAAAGGAGTAATTACTTAAAGAGTGCCTCCATCAGACTGCTAGAAAGAGACTGTGGAGAGAAAAAGAATCAAGCTAACGAACTAATCCAGTTGTCATACGTGCTGGTGTGTAAGAGCTGGCTTAAGCATTCACAGTCTGTCAAAGGAACATTCACACTGGCATTTACAGCTGTGACTAAACACTGCACTTGTGAATGAGCATCTGTGCTCACATTTAAAGTCCAATGCATCAAACAATCTGAGTAAATGAATGAACGAATGAATGAACGAATGAATGAATGAACAAATGAATGAATGAATGAATGAATGAATGAATGAATGGCAAATAAGTGATATTGACTTAACAAAACAATGGGAAAGTCCATCCTAGTTCTAGGTTTTTGAGGGTTTTTTATGTATTGGTCATAATTCAAATAATCTGGTCTTTTAACTGTTCTAATATTATTTAAATCTAGTAAAATATACATATTCTACTGTGATTATTTAATAAACAAAAATGAAGTCAAAATACAAAATAAGTGTGTGAAAAACTAAGTTTACCCCAGGATTCTTACCGCTCCACATTTTCCTAACAGAGCACTACGCAGGAGGACTCGCAGTTTTAGTTCTTTGAATTTAACAAGATTATGACTAGCTGTACCAGAGGGCAGGTATTCAGGAAAACTAATGGACGTGAAGGATCAGCCAGTGGGTGTGAAGGTCCAACCCAATGACTATGATTGACAGCCAAAGTCATTCTGCTGAAAAGTGGCATTATGAAATAAATACGCTATCATGAAAAACATAATTATGAAATAAAAGAATAAAAATGATTTTTTTTTCTTATTTCATAATGTTTTATTTAATTAATTTTGAGCATTTTGGTGTTGCAAACTAGTTATGCTGCTATAGACTAAAGACTAAAATTAGACTACTGGAGAACAAAATGACCGCATTTCCTCAACTGAAGTTACAAATGAAAACAAATGAATAGTTTGTATTCGTAAATACAGTACTACCCCATTTATCGCGGGGGATCAGTACCCTGAAGCCCTGCGATAAGTGAAAAACCGCAAAGTAGGAATAGTAGTACAAGTAGTAAGTAGTAGTTCTATGTCGTATAGGCTTCGCCCTTTAAGGCTGTTGATGACGGGTTTATCCCGTTATGCGCAAGCATCATACTGAAAAAATTAGTCCACGCCCACCTGCTGTGTGGGCCCCACCCGATCCGTATAAGTTACATTAAGAGCGGGTAATCGGCTCCCATTTTTCTTCAGCAAGCTAATATAAAACAACTGACCTTCAACGAGATGTCCAGCTCCAACACCATCCGCTTGTGTCCCTCCTGCAAGACCGGTTGCTTGCTCAGCTTCGACCGGCATGACACCTGCGAGGGATGCCTGGGTCCCCGCCATGTCGCCCGCGCTTCCTCCTGCCGCCTCTGTGACGAGCTTCCACCGGAGGAAAGGCAGAGGAGAGCAGCCTTGTTTAAGGCTACCATCGAGGACTGCCTGTCCGTGGCGGGAGACTGCTCGCTGGTCGACGCCATGGATTTCTTCGACGCCAGCTCTCGGAGTGAATCGGATGATTCCTCTGGGACCGGTGACGTTAGCAGCAGCCCCGACGCTCGTTCCCTCCTGGGGAGCGCAGTGTTGGAAAGAGGGAGGTCGAGCGGATGCTCGACTCCCCCGGGGTTTCCCGCCTCAACGGCCACACCGCTCCCTGCCGTCGGCGCACTCCTCTCGGAGCTGCCCGCCATTATCCGGGAAGCTGCTAACGTAAAGGGGCTCTCCGTCCCCTCACCCCCCCCCCCCCCCCCCCCCGCTCAGATCGGATGATCTTGCGGGAAGGTTTGGCTCCACGCCGGCTCGCCGTCTTGATCCCATCTGGCCTTGTTTTCCAGCGGTGACATCGTACTGGAACGAGGCCGCAGTCGGTCCTGGTAGGTTAAGGGCGCCAGTCTCCACTTACGCTCCGATCACCAGAGTGGAGGGGTTCACCGAGCGGGGCTATCCCTCGGTACCCCCCCTTGAGCCAAGCCTCGCGGAAGCCTTCGGAGCGAAGCTGTCCAGGTTGGAGCAGCGTCCCGTCCCTCTGGGGAAACACAACCAGGCGGTGACCGCGCTCTCCAATCGAGCCCACCAGTGTGCTTTTCAGGCGGCCGCAGCTAGCAACAACATGGCGCTGCTAGCATTTAGCATGTCGAAGAGGCTGGAGGCCGCAAACCTGACCGAGGAGACAAAGAGCTCCCTCTGTAAGACGGCAGATGCCATCCTCAACATGTGCGCCGCTTCCACGGTTTGCCTGTCGAGGATTGCAGCGTGGATGACGTTGATCCAACGATCCACCTGGCTTCGTCACTCTCCCTTGCTGCCGGAAAAGCTGCACAAGGATGGAGGGCCCCATCACGTCGGACGCGCTGTTCGGAAGCAGCTTAAAAACCATGCTGGCGAATTCGAAGCAGTCGGAGGAGATGTCGGAAGCTGTGCGCCATCTCATCAAGCCGCGCGACTCATCCCGTCCCCCGGCCTGCTGGAGAGATCGTCGCGAGCAGAGGCAGAAACATCGGCGCTCCACGGCCGCAGCAGCTTCGTCTCGCTCAGCTCCATCACCAGCCCCACCCGTCACAGACCACCCCTCCTCATTCCGGCAACCTGCACTTCAGCGTTTCCCCAGAGATCGCCTGCAGACGGCGCTCGGGGCAAACAAATCGCAGAGCTCACGGGGGAGAAGATTTGAAAAATTACGGTCTGCGGAGGATGTGTGTATAAATGACACAGAAGTTGAAATAAATGATTTTTCAATGATCAAAGTGTCTGTTTTTAGCCAGTCTGTAAGCTCGGATGAGCTCACAGCCGCTGCACACACATCCTCCACACATAAAGAGCCGGTGTCCTTAAATAAAGGTTTTTTAAACCCACCGCCGCTCCAACACATGACGAGACGCTCACTCGACACTACGGTAAGCGAAATAACTCGTTATCAATCAGACCCGCACGATCATCACCCAAGTGGTGTTAAACGCGCACCCGAGCGAGGCAAGCAGCCTCCATCCAAACGG